TCTCTCTCTCTCTCTCTCTCTCTCTCTCTCTCTCTCTCACACACACACACACACACACACACACACACACACACACACACACACAGCTCATGAGACTCAGGATCTCTTTCTAGTCGACCAAACCCTACTAGAACGACTACACCAGGACCCTTGTTTCACTCTTGATATGTAAGAATAGCTTCGTGGATCTACTTCTTTAAAAACATGTTTTGTGTAAAGAATAAGGAAGAATAAGGTAGAGTGATTTTTATTTTATTTTATTTTTGTTATTTTGGCACAGGCACGAACAAGACCAGGAAGTGATTGGCCTTTTATCTGTTTTCTTATCTGTTTATATTATGGCTGTATCTAAAAGTGTTTAAATTACACTAAATATTTTTTTCTCTGTCTTTCTCTGAGTTTTACACCAAAGGTTTTCTGGACAGGGAGCATGGTGGAAACCAGACTTCATTGGCAGAAAGAGATAGCTCAAACCTTTGTCTGCTGCTTGCTCTTGGACGTTGGGCGAGGCATCTGACATGTCTGAGCCCTTGCTTCCTCATTTGTAACGGGGAAATGATGCCCTTCTCAAAGGCTAGTCATGAGGGTTACATGAGATAAAGCTGTAATTTGCTTTCTGGCCCATAACAGACCCCAAATAAATGCTATTTTCCATTTCTTCCCTTCCTTCTCCCAACCCATAGTTAGCCAGAAAAAAAACCAATTATGAACCAAAGAAAATTCCAGTTCATTGAATCTCTGTTTACATTTATGTAAATTTGAAGCACATGACTCACTGCACTCCCAAATTGGCATCCTCAGCAGGAGTTCAAAGAGGTGCTGCTTCCAGACTCAGGAAGCACATCAGCGGGCTGGTCCACGGACAGCCTCTGAGCATGGGACCCTCTCCAGACACAGAGGCTGTTTGAAGAATTCTATAGGCATTGCATTTATTGAGCAACTGGCAAGCTGGTGTCCCACCTAGTGGTCAGTGGGAGGTAGCCTATTTCAAAAAGAGATGAGAAGACATTTCATAATGTCTTCTTCTGGGCAAAGCCTGGAGAACTGTGTCAGCTCACCCCATTCTCTCCATTTCCAAAGGCCTGGGCACGTACAGTACAAGGGTGAGAATGACAGGTGCAGCGTGTAACGTCCCCTGGCAATGGGAATGGGGCTGGTGAGAGTCATTCTCCTTGGAGAGACAAAGAAAGTCGTGAGATTAAGAGGCATACCTTTGAATGGCTTCCCTAAAATAT